GCCCTTGTTTTCACTATGTCATTTCTATTGTTGTTTGAACTAGTGCTGCCTAAGGTATGTCTGCATGTGCTGCACTCGCACCTCAAATAGCAGTGGAGACACATACCTAGAGAAGAATGTCCATCAGTAAAGCTAGGAATTTTTGTGCTACTATCGGGCCAGTTCTTTATTTTGACATGTGCATTAGTAGACAGAATTTTTTGGAAGTCAAAGTTTAGACTTTGAGGATGTTTCAGGCTCTTAAAATATAGGTAGGTGTAAATGTAGAATTTTAAAATGTAAGCTGCTAACTGAAAAAAGGAAGCTTTTGTTATTTTAGGTGATTTTACACTATCAAACTGTAAGTGAGCCTGCCACTATTAGACGATTGCTGAGTATCCTTCACAAGAGTACTGGTGAAGTCACAAAGAAGAAACCTAAGTAAGTATTTATGAAATTAACATTAACTACAATAAACATTTGGTATATTCAAATATGTAAAAATAAAACAAATTGAATCATAGTACAGAAAATATTTTGTTTCAAGATAGTTTTAATATACTTACATATTGTACTGTGTTTCATTTGTAGAGTTCAAAGCACTTTATAAAACAAGATGAGTATCTTAATCCTTGTTTTACAGATGCTATGGCACAGGAAGTGAATTGACTTGCCCAGTCTCACCCTGTGAGTCATTAGCAGAGCTGTGAATAGTACATGTTTTCCCAGATTACTATCTCAATGCCATGCTCACTAGATTATGCTTTAGTTCCTGAAATAAGACAGAGTCTGTAGTATGATTTGGACACTGATTGGTTAAAATCATATGCTGATTGGCATATTGTTGCATGGCTGTGATGTCATTAAAATTGCTCACTCCCAGAGAATGCATGGCAGGATATCTCACTGAAAGAAATGGAAAGAAAATCCTGAAACCTAGATAGAAGATTGGTGTGTTTTGTGTCTAGAGAAGAGATGATGACCATGCCCCCTCAGAATTATTCACTATTCTTAATCGTCTCATACTAATTTTTATTTTTTCCTGTCACAAGCTAAGCAGAGTTGGGTTGACTTAGTAATTGGTGTGAAGACCACTAAGGGGAAAAAACAAGTATTTCCAGAAGAAAGTTATAGTTCATCTGTAGAAAGCATGATAGTTCATCTGTATAAAGCAGTATTAAATCAGTGCTCCAGTTTGATGGTACAAATTAAACCTCTAAAATCCAGGACTCTTTGGTCCAGCAACATCTGTAGTCCAACAGGACCACAAATATTGCTGGATCAGAGAGTCCTGGCTGGTCAGGTTCAGGGGCTGGGCTGGGAGTAGGGAGCACAGTCCTAGCATGGCTGGGGGCAGTGGGGCTAGCACTGGAGGAACTGGACTGACATTTGGGAGGGGAGCCTTGATCTCCCCATGTCCAGCAAACACCGTGATTCGAAACCACCTCTGTCCCAAATGTGTGGGACCATGGAAGGTTCTACCTTATTGTCATTCACATAAAACTTAACTGAGAGTCTACTGCTTGTGTTCATTAAAGATCCTTTGAGAACAAATGTAGTGTTGTTAGCTTTGGCATTTAACAGTGGCAGTGTCCCACTTGGTAATTACATTCTGCTTGCTTGAATTTAAAAATCCAATCTGTAGTTTAATTGGGCGTAATATTTTCCACTTTCTGCCCTAAACTTGTTGTGTAGGTTGAGGAGTAGTAGTGTGTACTGTGAAACAGTTGTCCCGTGTTATTCCATGTAATAATACTGTGTTCAGTTCTTCTATCCACAGTTCACAAAGGATGTTAATAAACTGATATCCCTAGCCTCTGTTTCTCTGGGAGTGGGTGACAAGGGAGGGATCACATGAGGATTACCTGTTCTGATCACTCCCTCTGGGGCATCTGTTATTGGCCACTGTCAACAGACATAATACTGGACTAGATGGACCTTTGGTCTGACCCAGTATGGCCGTTTTTATGGAAGGGCCTTGAGAATGATTGAAAAACATGCTTTTATAGTGTGGCCGTTTTTATGGAAGGGCCTTGAGAATCACTATAAAAGCATGTTTTTCAATCACAGACTCAAGGTGCTCGATCTATTTTACTTAACAAAGAGAAGGTTGGGGTAACCATGATCACGGCCTGTAAGTACCTACTTGGAGGGACAGAAATTTGATCATAGAAGATTCTTCAGTTCAGAAGTCAAAGGTATAAGAAGGTTGAATGGCTAGAAATTGAAGCTAGACAAATCCAGACTAGAAATACTGCACAAATCTTTAACAGTAAGGGTAATTAACCATTGGAACTATTTTCTAAAATGGGTAGTGGATTCTTTGTCAGAATTTTTCAATGAAGATTGAATATTTTTCTAAAATGTTTTCAAACAAGGGATTAATACAGAGAAGTCTTATGATCTGTATTAAATATGAGGTCAATTATCATAGTCATCACTGCTGGTCTTACAGTGTATTAATTTAAAATTTGCAGTGGATTAGCTTTTAAATCTACTGACAGATTGTTTTACTATATTATAGATATAGTCGTATTGATATAAAAATTGGGTGTTTTAATGTTTTATTTGCAGGGTCCTGACTAAAGGACAGAATGCTTTAATAGAACTACAGACACACAGGCCTGTTGCCCTTGAATTGTACAAAGATTTTAAAGAACTTGGAAGGTTTATGTTACGCTACAGCGGATCCACTATAGCTGCAGGTGTTGTCACAGAGGTATGATGCTTTTGTAATGGATTTTCTAGAATGTTGATTATGGAGACGTGGCAGCTTCTCCATAATAAAAGTTGCAATCAGCTTCCAGGACAAAGCCTCTTTTAATAGCCCTATTACTATAAATCGGAAATTTAATTTGACCTGAAAATTGCTAGGCATGTACTATGAAAACAACATTTTTTCAAAAATTCTCACTTCTTTGTATCCCTCCAACTTAAAAATGGCTTTTTACCATCTCTTCCACATAGATGAACTTGCAGTTAAACAGCATTGTTAATTTTTATTGATGACTTTGGGCCCAATCCTAGTCTCACTTATTTTAAATGTATTGTAAACCAAATCCTGCTTCCCACTAATAGCTATAGGCATTTTATGCTGTTAATTTCAGAAGGTGCAGGTACAGGCACTATGCAAATGTGTAAATTTTTCCCTGCCATTATCATGATTATGCTTTTGAAAATATAAAAGTTCTTCTAAACTGACAGATAAAGTCATCTTTTTTAAGCCTGTGATTTTTGGCCCTGTAGGACTTGAGTTCTAGTTCCAGCTGTGTGTAATGTATTGTGAAAAGGTGGTGGTATCATCCCACTTTTATACAGAGGCTCATGGCTTGATAAGTTATCAGTAATGGAGACTGGATTAGAACTCTTATTCCTCTGTTTAAAACACATTTACCAGAGCTGGTGAGGCTTTGTGAACTATATTACAAAGGTGCCTTAACATATCTTCTTGAACTTCTGAAATCCATGATTCTCTGGTCTGGCAACATCCATAGTCCAGCAGGACCATGGATGTTGCTGGATCAGAGAGCCCTAGTGCCCGGGAGTGCAAACCCTGCCCCTGATGAGCCCTGGTCAGGCAGGGAAGAAATGGGACATCCCTGGAGGAGCCTCAGCCAGGTGGTACAGCAGTGGGACAGGCAAGCCCTGTCCCTGGCAGGGATCCCTGGTCTGTCTAGGTAGAAGTGGGGCTGTGGAGGTGAGGGAGCTCTGTCCCCAGAGAACCCAGGCCAGGTGAGGGCAGCAGCAGGACCAGTGAGCCCAGTCTCCGGCAAAGATCTCCGGTCAGGCGCGGGAGAAATGGGGCCATGAAGATGGGGGAGCTAGCAGCGGGACTGGTGAGCTGCAAAAGTGGGGCAGCCCACAAGCCTCATCCCCAGGAAGGGCAGCAGCAGAACAGGCGAGCCCCGTCCCTGGCACGGGTCCTTGGTTGGGCATGGGAGAAACAGCCACAGAGACTAGGGAGCTCCAGCAGGTTGAAGTCCAAGTCCAAGCCCTGCAGGCTGGATCCCAGTGGCAGTGGGCCCAGAACAGGGCTAACTGCAGGGAGAGGCAGCGTCCTAAGAGGTCAGTGGCCGGGGACCTCTCCATATCTGGCAAATTCCCTCATTCAGGACAGGTCATGTTCTGAGGGTGCCAGACAAGGGAAGTCCAACCTCTCCATATCTGGACTTACACAGTTTACACAGGACTCTGAACTAGTTTACAAAGGACTCTGAACTAGGACCGTGATCTTATAATCAATTGTAATAATTTAACTTTGCTACTGTGAGGAGTCCCATTGGAACACCTCATAGTAGTAAAGTTATGCATGTGTTGAAATGCCTGTAAAATTGGAGCCTAAATAAACTTGTGGCTGGTTAATCTGTTCTTTGGAAATAACTTGGTAGGACTCTGTGTTAGAATGTATACAGCATGACTTTTGTGGTGCTCTCTGGTTTTTGCTGTAGTATTTTCATTTTCTTATGAAATGACAAAACCTACAGCTTTTTTCTTTTTCTTTTTAGATTAAAGAATGACAGTGGTGCTAAGACTTCAGTGACCCAACCAAAATGCAATCAGCCATTCACACCTCTTTCAGAATCCAGTTACTTCAGCTGAAGGAACTAAGTGCAATTAAATGAAAAAAAAAGGAAAAAAAGAAAATTTAAATTCATATTGGACATTTAGTGAACTTTTTATCTGTCTCTGCCTAATGCAAAACAAAATGCCAACTGACATGGAAATGCTAATGTTGCACATTCTCATTTCAAAAGCTCCCATATTTCTCTGTGTGAAATTTACCCCACACCTGCAGCTCACAGAGCTTTATGGAAACTTGATTGGAAAGATGCATTAGAAGATAAGATGGCGAATCATCAAGAAACAATCTTGCTACTTCCAACCATTGACTGTTTACATTTTTTCTTTGATTTGCTCATTGCTGCACATTAATCCAATAAAGTAACTTAATTGGTCTAATATATTTTAAGGTTTGAGATGAATGCATTTTCAGGGGAAAAATGTTTACTTCCGTTTCAGAGAAAGGTATGTTGTGTCATCTACAAGATTTTTTCCCCCATCCTAAAATTTATTTAAAAAAAGAAAATTTAACCGCATGTGTAGTGGAAGCTGTGCCAACAATGGCTAATTTTATTTTTGAAGTGTAAAAATATAATAAAGTAGCCTGGTCTGAGCATAATATGTCTTGCCTTCTTCAAACCATATTATTTAATTTAAACCCTTTCTAAATTCCATTAAACTGAGCATAATTTTGCACGACAAAATGTTTCTATGTAAAAGTTGTAAAGTAAAACTAGAAACTACATACTGATTATGTTGAAGGTATGTTTTCACTGCTGAGTTAGTCCGGACTATTACTAGTGTGTTGCCCTAACACCCTTCTCATCTAAAATCTACTGATCAGAAAAATCTACTGATGAGATTCTAGTAGTGCTTTCAACTTGAGCTTTCTGTCCTAGGATACAGTCTATAACATGAATGCTGATTTCACCTGTGCTGGTAACCTGTTCATTTTTCAGTAATGATGCATGTGGAACCACTCAAGTGCTGGTAATCCTTCAGTGCCTTCCCACAATTCCCTCCTTGTGCCCTGAAGAACAGACAAATTCTCCCATTGTTCATTGGGACTCAGAGTGACTCAGCTTGCTGCCTGGCAGAGAGCCATAGGATATGACTCTAGAAGTCCGAGCAAGTGCAAGACACAGTAACTTAGATAGGATTTTGTAGTATGACTACTCCTACCGAGGATAGTCTAATTTGGGTGCTTAGACATGAGTGTGATGACCTGGATTATCTCTGCAGTGAAGACATACCCTAAGATGTGAAGAACGCTGAAGATTGGGCTCATAATTCTATTCAAGAAGTTGCCCAAAAAATATTTCTGTAAGCACTTATATATGCTCATCTATTTCTACTTTTCCCATATTGTTGGAGGTTACTTAGGCTGCAATCAAATGCATAGACTACAGTTCTTCAAATATTTATGCATGCGCGTAACTTTACACATGTGAATTATCCATTGATTTTAGTGGGAATATGTACATTCCTCAAGTTAAACAGGTGCATAAATACTTGCAGGATTGAGGCCTCAAGATATGCTTCACTGTTTGTTTAACATGGGTAATTGACACCTGTTAGCCTAGCCCAGGTATGAATGTTGATGCTGTTCTTGCGTTGAACTGTGTCTGTCTTGAGAGCTTATTCCATGGTTCTTTGTGGTAAAATGCTAAGATTCGTGCACTGTCACTTGTATCACTTGTGGGAGTACTTTTCTGTCATCAAGAGGGAACTGTGAGAAAGATGCTATAGTGTTATTAACACTTGAGTGGTTTTGTCTGCATCCTCAGTGTGAAGTGTGCAGGTTTTGGCCCATGTTAAGTCAGAGCTGGGCTCTAACTAGAGAGATCATGTTGCTCTCAAGTCATGTGAATTTCTGGGCCTGTTACCCTCAAAACAGAACACTTGTTTTGTAAATTGTACTGTAATACCAGTACCTTTAATTAAGGTTTCCAGTAGATTTTTAACAATGCATATACTTAAATTTATACTTAAACCATTATGGCAGAAGTCTGACAAGATTCCAGAGGTTTAATACTCTTAAACAATAGCCGAGTCACTTCAATAGATGTACTTAAAACCAAGGTAACGCCGTTTATAGATATGAAATCACAGGTGAGCCGAAGTGCTGGAGTGGATGAAAAGTATCCTAAAATAAAAAAAATTCAGTATTTCCTGACTCTTGTGCATGAGGAACCAAGTACATCATAGTCTCTTTTCTCCTTAAAAATGCAAATTGACCCAAGTGTTAACAGCTGGTTAGTACAAGGGACAGAAATAAATGGTGGAAAAGATGAAGGAAAGAGAAGCTACAACTTTCAGATCTGTTTTTTTTTTATTATTTTAGAACTACAGATTCCACCACATTATTACTATTTCTCAAGCAGACAATGTCCTACAGTTCTGTATGTTTTGAGCTTTTTGAGCTGAGCCCCACTCCACCCCCACTTTGTACCATTTCAGTTACAATTTTTAGTTATATCCTCCCATCCCAGACACAAATGAATACCTGTCTCCCTTTGGACTTTCAGGGTGAGGGAGGGCATTTGTGACAATCTCTAGTAGTGGAACCAGCATTGGGTGCAGAGGTCAACATCTGCCACACATACCAATTTCTGCACATCAGCTGAGGGGCTTGCTGAGGTGAATCAGGAGGTGGAGGTGATGCTGCCTTTCTGAGCCCAACATGTGGGGCAGTGGGTTGCTGTTGCTCCTCTAATGTTCCTTTACCCCAGTTTGAAAACCTCTGGTTTGGAAGATGATGGTAAAATGTTTCCAGTGGAGCTTGAGTCAAAATATCTGGAATCCTTAGGTGAATTTCTAGCCTAGCTAATGGGGCCAGGATTTTACCCCCATCTTTTTCTTGTGTTATTGAAGATGGACTTACAAAGCCCTAGCATAGTACTTAAAACAGGTGAATCATGGCTTTTTAAGGGCAACACGCAAGTGTTTTTTGTGAGTTGTCTTTTTCCCAGTTCTCAAACAAAAAACAGAAATTAGAAGACTTTCCCAGATCTCTTCAGCTCATAGCTTTAGGCTCTCGACATCACTCTCCTCATAGGGATGTCTAACAATACACTGTCTCAGGGATGGAGTTAAAGAAAAATTTTAGGGATTAGCAATACTTCTCACATTGATTACAACATTCTCTTTGCAAAATGTAAAGGCCTTGTACGATGGCTGCATAGGTTTCTCATTAGGAATTTTGTAAAACATACAGTATTTTGTGTGATGCGTTACAAAGATGAAAAAAATGTTCCTCCTAAAAGTAATTTTATTACATCTAATGTGCTCTTTTTCCTTGGGCCCCAAACACCATTTTAACCCTGGGTCAATGAAAAGTGGAGAACTCAGAAGTCGTGTATATGAAAGAACTTTAAGTCCTCTCGATCTTCTCCTCTCCCCACCCCCAAATCCCCATGAATACAGCTTTTACAATAAAATGCAAATGAGCAAGCAAACTAATCTATAAATAAATCTGTATGTATTTGCATTATACAAGTGAGGTGGTAGCCACACAAAAGCCTGACTAGTTGCTGTGCTGTTTGCATTATACAAGTGAGGTGGTAGCCACACAAAAGCCTGATTAGTTGCTGTGTACATGAAGTTTGTGGGGAGGTACGGTCCATCCTCCCAACCAGAGACCAAATTGTGGGGATTTCATTGCATATCCCTTGTAGCAATTGTATTATGTACATAGTCCCAACAATGAAGCTCCTGTGGTCTCTCTACTTTGCAACGGCCAGTAAGGCTTCAGGTTCGACGCCGAATGGGTACAGCAGAACTGCATGGCTACCCAGCTTCAACACAGATGAAGAGGGCATTGTTCTGGCTTTTGACACCAATCTGCATGCTGTGTATGTAGTTCCCTGACCCTATTATTGTTCATTGAATTTGAAATTGTGGTTGTTGAGGAATACATGTCAAATATAGAAATATGATATGTATAATGTGGTGACAGGAGAGCCACACAAAAGCCTGACTAGTTGCTGTGCTGTTTGTGTACATGAAGTTTGTGGGGAGGTACGGTCCATCCTCCCAACCAGAGACCAAATTGTGGGGATTTCATTGCATATCCCTTGTAGCAATTGTATTATGTACATAGTCCCAACAATGAAGCTCCTGTGGTCTCTCTACTTTGCAACGGCCAGTAAGGCTTCAGCTTCGACGCCGAATGGGTACAGCAGAACTGCATGGCTACCCAGCTTCAACACAGATGAAGAGGCATTGTTCTGGCTTTTGACACCAATCTGCATGCTGTGTATGTAGTTCCCTGACCCTATTATTGTTCATTGAATTTGAAATTGTGGTTGTTGAGGAATACATGTCAAATATAGAAATATGATATGTATAATGTGGTGACAGGAGATTTACTGATTGCAGTAATCTGCACAGTTTATTATATTTTGAGAAAAATCTCCGCAGACAGCCATATTTGTATCTGCTTCTATTTCTCAGGGAAGTAAAACAAAGTTGCTTAACTAAACAGGAGAAACTTCCTAATGGGAAGGTGTTTTATACAGTAGAACAGTGTTTCTCAGTCAGTGGCATGCGTACCTTTAAGGGTACATACCCAGCTTCAACACAGATGAAGAGGGCATTGTTCTGGCTTTTGACACCAATCTGCATGCTGTGTATGTAGTTCCCTGACCCTATTATTGTTCATTGAATTTGAAATTGTGGTTGTTGAGGAATACATGTCAAATATAGAAATATGATATGTATAATGTGGTGACAGGAGATTTACTGATTGCAGTAATCTGCACAGTTTATTATATTTTGAGAAAAATCTCCGCAGACAGCCATATTTGTATCTGCTTCTATTTCTCAGGGAAGTAAAACAAAGTTGCTTAACTAAACAGGAGAAACTTCTGTGACGTAGTGGGGGTACTTGCTGGGATGTGGTGACCCCTGCTGTCTGGAGCAAGACCCAGCAGGGAAAGCCTCACTAGGCAGAGGTAATGCCAAACTTGTTGAACCAGTGGCCAGACACCCCCCATGGAGAAGAACAAAGGAAGGTGGAATGCTGCCCTGGCTTGGGGGGCAGGGCTGGAAGAGGGTTAGTTAGATCCTCGCTGGAAGGCAGGTTGAGGAATACATGTCAAATATAGAAATATGATGATATGTATAATGTGGTGACAGGAGTTTTACTGATTGCAGTAATCTGCACAGTTTATTATATTTTGAGAAAAATCTCCGCAGACAGCCATATTTGTATCTGCTTCTATTTCTCAGGGAAGTAAAACAAAGTTGCTTAACTAAACAGGAGAAACTTCCTAATGGGAAGGTGTTTTATACAGTAGAACAGTGTTTCTCAGTCAGTGGCATGCGTACCTTTAAGGGTACATGAGAGAAGTCTGGGGGATACCTCAACACAAGTGAAATTTGGCAAAAAATGTCCAGGATTTTGTCTTACAAAGAGGATTGGGGAGGGGGTGACAGCACGTGCCTGTCAAATTGAACGTTCAGAGATGCGCAGCCGGACGTTAGCTCCCCAGCGCCTGGCGGGAAAAGCATGTGGCTGCGGTGGCGGCTCTGGTGAGACGCAGACCAGTTCCAAGTTGGGAGGGATGGGAGGAAAAAAAAATAACTTCTACGGCCTCCTCTCTTAGTTTGTTTCCTCTCCAGCAGCCTCCCCAAGGTGCTCCAACGGGGAGGGCGACTGAACCTGGAGACGCGCATTACCCCCACCCCTGCCAGCTGCTCAGTACAACGTATCCCCATCGCCCCTTCCCCATGGCACTGCGGAGATGAGCTAAAAGGTGGTGAAGTGGCACAATAAGCTTTGCTTCTAAGGACCTCCCACATCAGTGGCGTGGGGGGGGGGCAGTTGCCCACGGAGACCACGCTGGGATGTGAGTGCACAGCCCTATGTGGGCAGCCTGGCACTGGTGGGACACTTGCTGTCTGCAGACAAGCCGCTGAGGCAGGGCCAGGAGCAGGCACTTCAAAGGTAGGGTTACCGTATGACCCGTGTGTGGCTCTGGGAGAGGAGAGCAGGCACTTCAAAGGTAGGGTTACCGTATGTCCTGTGTGTGGCTCTGGGAGAGGAGAGGTGCATTGGGTTAGAGCGGGGAGCTGGAGGTGCCTGGCTCTGGAGGAAGGGGAGGGCATTGGGTTAGAGCGGGTGGACTGGGAGTGCCTGGCTCCGGGGGGTACTTATAATTTTTTTTAAAGAGGTACTTTATAAAAAAAGGTTGAGAAACTGCTGTAGAATACTTATGCAAGTGAAGAAGTGAAAGTCCCATTTCCTTGTGATGTTTCAACTAAAAAAAAAATCTAGAAAATATACTGGAGGGGAGCAATTTGCTTTCCCCCCATTTTTTGTTCTGTACTGTTCTAATTTTGGCTCTACATCTTTTTCTTTTTTGTCCTGCCTTGAAAATAGTTGCTGATCCTGCCACCTTGGAACTGAACAGAATATTCTTGGACAGCTGTAGGTAAAACACTCTTTTTCCTGCTCATTTGTCCCTGCTGGCACACAAGGAGTTCTTCCCATTTGTTGGGTTGTCTGTCATTGGAGAGGGAGAAAAAGAAAGGGGTGGAGCTCAGGCCTGAAGTGTAACTAGGTACGAAACTGCAGTATAAACTGACAGCTAAAAGAAATCAGATGAAACCAGCTCTTCACAATGGCTGGCCCAAAGACACTCTTAGTGTTGGAGAACTTCATAAATGGTAAATTTCTTCCTTGTTCCTCCTATATTGACTCCTACGATCCATCCACTGGAGACGTGTATTGCAAAGTACCAGACAGTGGCAAAGAAGAGGTGAGTACTTTAGTTTCCCTAGCAGAAGATAAAGAAAAAATGAGAAGAGAAATAACAGTGCAGTTTATGGGGTGGAATGTGGAGAAAGCAGGAAGAGGATTGTTAAAGTGATTAATTGTTTACATTTAAATGACTAAGTTCTTAACATTACTATAAGGCCAGGGACAAATCCTTTTTGTCACACAGTTCGCTATTAAAAGCTATGCCCTGTCAATCAGTGTAGCTTCAGTTACTTCATTGGAGTCAGTCACATCAGCAGAGGATGGAGTCCTGTCTTGCAAAAGGAAGTCAAAGGCAATGGTCACATCAGCAGTTTGCAGATAATAACACTGGAGTCGGGGGAAAAGGGTCTGTTCATCTCCCCTCCATGAGCAGCCCTAGTGATACTATATCCAATGAATATCTTCTCCCTTATTATCTATTTTCTACTACTCATTCATATGACTTTGCACACTAGGGCTCTATCCATAAAATGTCAAAATCTCACAGCCTTTCTGAGGTCTGTGCTCTGCAGATGGATGTTGAGCATTTAGAACATTGCTATTGCAGATGAAAAAGTAACATTTTAGTACAGCTGCAGGAATGTGCCTCTATGTACAGTGCAGTAGTGTGCATCAATCGAGAGCTGAAATGCAATATTTCTTTTTGGCCCCGCAGGTCAGCTTTGTTGCATATTTTTTGCCACATGACATGTTCAAGTGTTAGGGCTACAAGACATTTGTAGTGAGAATTGCCATTTAGTTTATGGCAAAGTACTGCTTATAGGCAATGAAATTGAAGGTGTGTACAACGTAGTGTGGTGCGTTCAGGAAGAGGACAGATGAACAGAAAAGAGTTTTATATTACACAGCAAGCGCTTTCAAAACTTTGACTAATAAGTGCTCAATATTGTTTCATTTTCAGAATAAGTGGTCTTAAGTCCTGTTACTATAAATGAGTACCTCTTTCACATGTGTCAATCATATTGAGCTTGTTTTGCTTGTTCAGCAAGAACCTTTAGCACCATAATTGTGGTTGGGTAAATATTTGCAAGGTGCTGATGGTTAAAGTGTAACCACGCTGACTTTGATACACTGTGCTTAATGTAAAATCTAGACACTCCAAAAACTCTCTGTGCTTGAAGAATTGTTTCTTTCATGAATAAACACTATGTGGGTCCTATTTTGTTTACTCACACAAGTAGATACACAAATAATTATAACAGTAACAGATCTGTGAATGTGCCTGCATTTTAGGAGAGCTATTAAGCCATATACAAATGAAAATAAGGACCTACTATATTAGAAGCCAGTAATGGATCAGTGGTCATTTGAGGAGGCTATTCATGTTCATAAGTGTTTGCAGAATCAGGCTTACTTTCCCCACCAGACATGCTCTTGAACACAGATATTCAAAGGGCAAACATCAGACTTAACCCCACTAAGCAGGTTACTCCCCCCCCCCCCCATTCACACACACAAACACTGGTTCCCACAGACAACTCAGTCTGAGAAAACCCCTTTATCCTCAGGACCACATAGTCTTACAATTCTTGATAGACACCAATTTACCATGTGTAGTTTGGCTAACATAGCACTCAGATTTTTTTTAAATGGTGCTTACTCTCTGGTTTTTAGTCTGTTATTTCTATTTTCTTATATGGAGAAAGAGGGCAGGGGAAGTATATATTAGAATAAGTACAGGTTTGTAATTATGTTTTGATAACACACATTGTCTTTGTTGGCTCAATTGTTTTTTCCCCTTCTCTCTTTGATGCTTTCCTTTAGTCAACTTCAGTCTATTTTCTCTCTGATTCTTTGCACCTTTCCTCTGACCATATTTCTACCTATATATCTTCTTTCTTTTCTTCCTTCTCCTTTATATTTTCTCCATAGACTAATTTCCTTCTTCTCCATCCCTCCTCCTGGCTTCTAGGGATGTTGGCTATTCAATTACCTGTATCTGAGTAACCACATGAATTCTTATTGGCTAGTCAATTATTCTGTAGTCCCCAGGGACAGGTACAGCAGCCAGTGCAATTTAACCCTGTTCTTGAAGAACCCTATGGAAAAAAGCACTGTGAATGGCCATCAAAGCTTTCTTGCACAAGAGCATCCATGCAGTGTGGATGCTCTCTTGAGCAAAAGCACATTGCTTTTGCGATGTGCTTTGAGGTGTGGATGTGCTCTTAAGCAAGAAATTTTTGTGCAAACGTATAGTGTAGATGTAGCCATAGTCGACTACATGTTTAACCAATAAGCCTGATCTTATTGGTTATTCCTGTTGACTACACACACTCTCCCACCCCATCACTTAGGCAGGAGCCAGTGCAGGCAAGTGCTTGTAGGGAACAGGCTTAAATGCAAGCTCTCCATGAGCACTGGCTCCACCTGCTCCCTCTCCCCATGCTGCTGCCTCTAATAGAGACAGCAGTGTGGGGGCAGTGGAGTCAGGAGACCCCCACAAAGCTGGTGCTTGGGGACAGCTGGCTTTTATGCTGGCTCCCCACAGCACTGGCTCCTGCTCCCCCCACCTTGCTGCCTCTGTTGCAAGATGAACCAATAAGCCTAGGCTTATCTGTGAATCATATAGTCGACTACACATTGACATCCCTACTGGCTTGCACATTTTTTTCCCTCAGGATATCTTGCCCTCTCAGCTTATGAAAATCCCTCTGTAGTGCTCACATTCCATCCCTACAAAATCACTGCAGTGTTAAGGCAGAGGGGAATCTGTGGCTGCTATATGGGACAAGTAGCTCTGATTCGGGGAGTTTCTTCCTCTGATGAGATACTTTATTGAGACATAGAAGATGGTAGGGAAGTGTCAGCAGAAAAAGCGAAGCAGCCACAGCAGCACAATGGCACCTGGTGGCAGAAGAATAGAAGAATAGGTCTTTTGAAAAAGGCATTTGAGGATGGTTCACTTTGGTCAAATGAATAGGGAGTCATGAACCTTGTGTGCTGTTACTGGCTTGGCCAGTGATCTGCTGTGTGATGCTGGTCAGGACACTTCACTTCTCTGTGCTCCTATTTCTCCCAGCCTTTGTCTAATCTATTTAGATAATAGTGAGGTGATGCCCTTATAATATATGAAAAGGAAAAGATATGTTCCCGGGGTCTTCAACTGGAGTGATGTATGACGGATCCAGTCAGTAGCTATGCAACCAATTAGTGAAAAAAAAAGTAGAATTCAGAGATAATTTCCTAACAAACTGTATTGCACCCATTCCAAGCCAATTCTATACTGGATCTTATGACAGATAGAGATACATTTATCATAGGATTGAAAATTAATGGTTACCTTAAGAATACATGATCTGAATACATTCAGTATGGGCAGAGAGGACAATCCCAACCAGTGTGTGTAAACACACATCCACTCTTGGTGGTATACCAAGGGCTAATTTCTTAAAGTTGATGGAAACTGGGAAGAAAAATATAGACAGAAAAATGTGATATGAATATTGGGAGTGCTTTAAAAAGAGTTTATTAGATGGCCAAAAGTCATAATTCCACAATCAGGAAAGTAAGTCAATTTTAGTTCAGTGGCAAAGTGAAGTAATTAGATATAAAATAAAAACCTGTAAAAAATGGATAATAGGGGAAATTGATATTGTTCAATATAAATTAGAAGCTAGAAAGTGTAAAACTTAGATAAGGGAAGCTGAAGACATCAGGAAAAATTCCATGGCTAGCAGAGCAAAGGAAAATAGGGAAGTTTTACATATACTAGGGACAAAATAAATTCTAGAAAACTTATACACTCATTACTTTATGGAGATGATGAAATTGTTAATGATGTAGAAATATTTTTTGTATGGGGGGGGATTGTTAATGATGTAGAAATATTTTTTGTATTGGGGGGGGGGAAAAAAGCAAGATCTAATCTACATACTTTGTGAGGAGGAAGACATTTTTTATTCCATTAGTGTTTGTGTCTCACTGGGAATCTTTGGTCTGGTAACATTCAGACCATGGATGTTCCTGGACCAGAGAGCCCAAGGTCAGGGGGCCAGTGGTTGGTGGCACAGTCAGGAGCCCTGTGATGCAACCGGGAACCTTGTGGGGCTGGTGGTGGCTGGGCACCCTGACTGGGCCAGCAGCAGCAGTGCATGGTAGTAGGCTGGGAGACTGCTGGCAGGTGACCTCCCCTGGTCCAGCAAATTGCCTTGTTAGGAACCAGTCAGGTCCCAAGTATGCCGGACCACGGAGGTCCAACCTATAGTAACAAAACATCTGTTGTGGACAAATGTTTTAAAATTAGTAGATTTGGATTACTTGCTCACAAAAGAGCTAAAAGAAATAGGTCTTTGGCCTGTTGATATCCATTTTTATATCTTGGAATACTGGATAAATTATTGAGGATTGCTCTAATATTCAGAGAGAGCAAATAGGATAACCCAGTAACTGTAGGCCAGTTAACCTGATATAAATCCTAAACAAAATAATGGAAAAGCTGATATGGCAATCAGTTGCTACAGAATTGACTGATAGATATATAATTGATGCCATTTTACATGGATTTATGGAAAATAGGTTCTGACAAAAATATGATTTAATTCTTTGAGATTACAGGTTTAGTTAGTTGATAATGGTAAGTGTGTAGATGTAAGTGACTTTAAGGCATTTAATATTGTATGACATTCTGTTTAAAAATTAGCACCATACAATATCAATAAGCACCCATTAAATAGACTACAAATTGACTAGATAGATAAAAAATCGTCATCAGTGTGGAATCTTTTAACTGGGGGTGTTTCTAAAAGAGTTCTACAAGGAAGAGTAGCAGGCCTGAGGTAATTCAAAATTTTCAGCAGTGATCTGGAAGTAAACATAAAATCATTGTTAAAATTTGTGTATGACAGAAAAGCGAAGCCAGGACGGGGCAGTCACACAGAACTATCTGGGTTGCTTGGGAAGCTGGCCTTATTCCAGGGTTTCCCAGCCTATGGGTTGGGACCCAAATACGGGTCGCCATTACATTTCAAAAGGGTCGCCAAGTGTCTCCCCAGGTGGTTCTGCCCTCCCTTCTCCACCCGTTTTTGAATTGCCTTGGGTCACCAAGTCTTCCTGAATTGTCAAAATGGGTCCCCATCTGGAAAAGGTTGGGAACCGCTGACTTATTCCAACAAATGTTGCAATACAGCCAAACAAAAGTTATTCCTCTAGAGATAAAGAATGACGACTTATGCAATGTGAGGCTATATCCAGGAGAGCTGCAACTCTGAAAAGAATCCCGGAGGCATAGAGAAGGAATAACGGAGTGTGAACTTCCAGAAAGGGAAATCCCAGTTGGACATACTGCCTGTAAATGTAAGGAAGGAATAGTCTTCTGCATAGACAAAATAACTCAAAGGATTTTTAATTTCTCATATGTCAATGGCTCTGTTGATTCTTTTCCACAAAGAGTCTTTGAAGTTAATCATCTCTGCTTTATTCTTCCAGGTAGACGCTGCTGTCACAGCTGCCAGAGATGCCTTTCCAGGCTGGTCCTCCAAAAGCCCTCAGGAAAGATCTCAGATAATGAACAAATTAGCAGACCTGATAGAGAGTGACCTGGAGGCATTTGCACATGCAGAATCAAAAGATCAAGGTAAAAGCAGGATTTCTTTCTCTTTAGCAGTCTGTCCCCAGATGAGGTTATAAAAAAGGGAGGGCCTTGTTAAATGAGTCAAAATGTCCAACCCCTATTCTTGACTCTAATGTGGGCTGTGTGATTGGGTCACTTAGAGCCAAATTTTTAAAGCTGCCACAAATATTGTGTGCCTAACGGTGCAATCCTTGGATTTCATTTACTGAGGTGCTGAATGTTTATTTCAATTAGATGTATAGATGCTTAGCACCTTCTGAAATATGAACTGTGTTTCTAAAGTTGGACACTCAAAACTAGAGATCAGTTTTGAAAATATGGGCCTCTAATTCCACCACATCTCTGCAAAATAAGGATGACAATACCTGCTACACAGAGGGGCTGAGGCTAAATTTAATCAAGACCATAAAGCACTTTGAGGTCCTCAGACAGAGCATGCTGCAGAAGAGTGAAACATAATCAGTCCTATGGAAGTATTATAAATGTATTTATTTGTATTGTGATCATGGGGTTCCCAGCCAAGGATCCTATTTTATGAGGCACAAGGCATGTAGCCTGTGGTGGTGTAAATATGCTTGTAAATATGGATATGCCTAACTCGACTATGCTTTATGTAAAATATTTATTGTAACGTCATTTTAAAAGTTACAAGCTGCCAAATGTGTATATTATATTTGTGTGCATGCATCATTCCTGTGTTTTGAAGTCAGAAATATGTAGCATAAACCTGTTTACTGATTTAGACCTGCTAAGGGAAGGCCGCTAGTGGTACTTAAGGAACTTTAATTGCCTAGTATTTCTGAATAGTCTTGCTTCTCCTGTGAGCCTGGACTATGGTTGATCCTACAAAAACATTTGACCAGGCCACCTGATGCTGAAAACCATGTTTTGGACTCTGTTCTTCTCCACTCAAGTTGAGAAAAATGTGAATTGTACACAAAGGATTCCCATCTCGGGTAAAATATATACAAAGGTATGAAAACAAATAATAGGAGCTGTTGCCAGATACCAGGAGACTCCTAGTTACCAACTAAGTTGCCTGCTGAAAACATCTAAGATTGAACAGAGGGAAGGATTTGGGAACCTGCCTTGCTTGTGAGAAGAGGTGATTAGAACTACTGTTAGGGTAAGAAATTGCATGCAACAAGTTTCTTGGTGTATTAGGCTTAGCTTGTGTGGTTTTGTTTTATTTTGCTTATTCACTTACTTTTTTTATCCGTCATCAGTTGCTGCAACCACTTAAATCCTGCTTTTATACTTAATACAATTTTTGTTTATTTTTGTTTATTAATAAACCCAGTGTAAATAATTGTCCCTGGGGAGACAACAGCTGTGCATCTATCGCTTTCATTGATAGAGGGCAAACTACTTAGGAGCTCACTCTGTATAAACTTTATGTATAGTGAGATGGATTTATCTGGGGGCTCGGTCATATTGGGGCTGTGCACCTGCAGGTGCTGTTCCAAGTCCCTTTGAGCCTTCCCAGAGCTGACCACATCTCAGATTCTGTGTTACTTAGCTGGGGAAGCTGTGACCCCTACGTTGTACCATTGGTGAGGGAGACCCGTGGTTCTGGCCCAGCAGGACAGCATGGTGGGATGCCCCGGAGAGCAATAAGGTGGGCTTCGTGGTATTTTCAGTACGTCAAGTAGAGTCTCAAAGGGACCTCTGCGACTGAACTGTCACATGCACACACAGCACAACCATGTTCTCCACCCCTACGAGCTTATCTAAATGGCTGCTTATTACCATAATTTGTATTTATGTTCTTCATGATGAGTTTCTTTCCAGGCATCTAATTACTTTACCATTCCTCATCACCAATGGAATTGTTCCCTAAGTAGCATGTACAAATCCCAGTTCAGGGTTCCAGCTTGATCTGAAAGGTTTTTGGGGCAGAGGCTTGTCTGTGCATAGTGACATTATGTAAATACTTTCCCCCACAGTACAGTACATGGTAATGACACAGCGGTGTGCTTGTTACTTTTCTTGTTCAGGAAAAACAGTTACATTTGCTAGAACAGTGGACATCCCACGGGCAGCATACAACTTCCGGTTCTTTGCATCTTCCATCCTTCACCATACCACAGAATGCACTCAGATGGACCACATGGGCTGTATGCATTACACCACGAGAACACCAGTGGGAATTGGTGAGTATTCTCAAAGGGCAAATGCTGAAAAGCTTAGCAGACTGTCTACCAAGAAAGGGAAAAGAATAAGAAAAAGGGGGACCTTAAGCACCGCTGCGTATTTTTTTTTAACTACAGTAGGGCTGGTCCCATCCTTAAAATCCTCTCTGTAATTTTATTTATTATAGCTATGTAGGTAGGTACCATTGGTGTATCTATATACACATACTGTCCGGGTAAGTGGGATTTTCAAAAGCATTCAAAATAGACTTAATTCTGCTCTCGTTGATGCCAGTAGTCACATCTCACATTAACTTCAGTGGGAGCAGAGCTATGTCAATGGTGAGCACTTTTAAATGTGTGCATATGTATATATAGTACATGGTTTTTGGGAAACTAGCCACAAGATGGCACTGCCCCTTCAGAGAGAGGCTGAATATGTGTGGTGTTTTGGAGCTATGTGAATAATGGTGCAAATATTTGTATATCTGTTTGACTATATAATACATTTGTTTAATAAACTTGACCTGTTTCATTCTCTTCATATGAGCAATTGAAAATCTAAGGCTCACAGCAATTACATTTTAAATTCATTACATATGCTTGTGTTGAAACTCTGTTCACTCTCATTCAGTCTAACATAAGAACAGGCAAGAACACAGGTCCATCTAGCCCAGGATCATGTCTCCCAGCAGTGGCCAATGCCAGGTGCCCCAGAGGGAATGAACAGAGCAGGCAATCATCAAGTGATTGATATGCTATCAACTGTTCTCAGCTTCTGACAAACAGAGGCTGGGGACACCATCCCTGCCCATCCTGGCTAATAGCCATTGATGGACCTATCTTGCAACAAGGAGTACCACATGACCAATCACAATTTGAATTTTGAATATTTGCGATAAATATACAGAGTAAAAAAATACATGAAGTTAGTAATTGAATACATGTTAATAGCTGAGCAACTGGAGGAAATCCATCTGTTCATTATTATTCTGGACTAAATTAATCAGGTAAATTATTCATTGTGCACGATGCACTCAGCTCTAATATTTGACAAGCCTGAAATGGCAATCGATTTGTATAAACAAAAAAAAGTTGAATGGGACTAGTAATTTCAAATTTTCTCTTATCATTTAATTGTGAATCCTCAGTGCCTGGACCTGTCTATAGAGCATGACAAAGCTCCCACTGCAAATATATCTCTGATACACTGGCACAAACACACAGAAAAATCATTTCTCCAGCTGAGGTGGTCAAATATATTTGCGCTGGAAACTTTTGGCATAGTTTACATGGGTTATTCAAATCTTCTGTTTCAATACATTTGGCCTCTTAATTTTGTCTTTTTTTTCCTTTGTAGCTGGTTTAATAAGTCCTTGGAATTTGCCACTTTACTTGCTAACCTGGAAAATAGCCCCAGCCATTGCCTCTGGAAACACTGTCATCGCCAAGCCCAGTGAGATGACATCTGTCACGGCTTGGATGATGTGCAAACTTCTGGGGAAAGCAGGTAAATTAAAAAAGCCCTCTGCACAGGGACCCTGCTGTTTGTTGCAGAAGTTGGATGGTGTCTAGTCAATGAAGCAAGCAATTGCAGGAGGAGAAAGGATGGTTGCAGGGTTAGGGCAGTTGAATTCTTCACTGGAGAACTGGATTCTATTCTGCCTCTCGCCCACACCGTCCCTCCCTCTGCTATCTTCTCCTCATCCCCATCTGTTCACCTCACCTCTGCGTTGCCCATTTAGGCTTTCTCCTTCCACAGTGCTTTGGTGCCAGCAGAGGGAACATGGGGAGCATAGGAAAGAGTTTGTTAGTTCTCACTTCCTGTGCCTGGTGCCACATTGGTCCCCAGCAGCTGGGAGCAGCAATTCTAGGGAAAGTCTTGCTCTGCCCCTGCATTCCCAGATTGAAGTATGCTAGGTACAGATGAAAATTTCAGCAAATAGAGCTGCCAAACTTTAAGGCTGTGTCTTTACTAAAAAAAAAAAAAAAACAACCTGGCTACTTCTAGTAAAATAACAAGGTAAAATCCTAGTGAAGACAAGACACTTAATGGTCCCCACACAAGTTAGCAAGTCAAATTAACTCTTAGGTCATCCATTCAATGTGAAAGCTACAAATGCTCTTGTCTTGACTAGGATTTTAGTTCATGTTTACCAGCTAAATTTAAGAAAAAGCTCTCTTTCTTGGTGGAGATTCACAGATAACAAGTCTCCACTGACAATGCTGTGTCCCCATGGGTGCAGTCTTTCATCTGACCAGCATAAGGTACATTTCTGACATCAAAGGGACCTCCCTGGCAAATTTGAAGTCCTTGTCACCAAGTGTGTAGGCACTAGCACAGGGGTGGGGAACCTGTGGTGTGGGTTTTTATTATTTTTTCTCACTTTTTTTATGCATTACTGACTGATTTTTCTGTGGGTCAGTGGCCCCTAACCTCAGAAATGTTCCCCACCTTTGCACTAGAACGTCCTGAGAAAATGGTTGCAGGAATATCTTTAACTTGGGCAAAACAAGTTTGTTGTTAAATTTAATTCTGAGAAATGGTTGAACTGTTGAACTGTTTTTTGCTGAATTAAAAAAACCCCTATCAGCCTAAAGCAGACCAATATGGAAAAATTTGAGACATAATGGTTAAAGTTTGGCCTCAGTTACATGCAACTGAAAACTGGGCTTTCTAATGGAAGGTGTCAGGTAATCTTACCCTTTGGCAGGGTTACCAGCTCCACACATAATAATACAAGAACAGATATTGAAACCAAATAGTCATTGTTTCATCTAGTTATTTTTACAGTTTGGCTCAACCACTCTTAAAGCCAAGGGCATCCTTGTTAATTTAGCACTATTAGTTGTTTCCTGGCTTCTAAGAGGAGTGCAACATTCACCTAACTTTCCCGAAGTGAAGGCCATGTGTTTTGTGTGATTGTTCCCACAAGGAATCCCACCGGGGGTGGTGAACATTGTCTTTGGAACTGGCCCCAAAGCTGGAGAGGCTATTGTCTCCCATCCTGATGTGCCACTGATTTCCTTCACTGGAAGCACGCTTACGGCCCAGCACATCAGAGAGAGGAGTGCCCCATACTGCAAAAAGCTCTCTCTGGAACTGGGAGGCAAGAACCCTGCAATCATCTTTGAGGATGCTGATCTGGACCAATGCATTCCTACCACAGTGAGATCCAGCTTTGCAAATCAGGTAAAGGGAGATGTTCCTTTCTTAACCCTGTTACATATTAAGTGTGTAAACAGCAAATGTGTATGCGTGAGTATACTTTTGGGCTTGTCTGGCTCTTAAATAGTCAAAGGTAAATTAAGATTTCATAGAATTAGCAGAATAGAAGTAGAAGTTTATGAAACTGATGTTTTCATGATCTTAGCACCAGAAAAATAATGATATTAAATAATTTAATCCTCTAAGCTGTGATGTCCAAATGGCAATTGCTATAGGAAGTTTATCCACACTTATCTTGCCAAATAGCCACATGTGACTAAGTGGCTAATGTGTTGGACACAATGGCTGTATAGTGTCTTTCATTCAAATATATCAACACACTTTACAGTCCTCTCTAGGGGTACATCTACACTACACACTTATTTCAAAATAAGCTATTCCGGAATAGTTATTTCGAAATAGTTTATTTCAAAATAGCATGTCTGCACTGCAGGGAAGCCTCAAAATTAGTCTGAGGCAGGCTTCCCCCATGTAGACTAATGTGCTATCTCGATTTAGAGCCCCAGGAGCTACTGGGGAGGAATAACTTAGAATGGTCATGGGGTGGGGCTATTTCAAAATAGCAGCAAGGGGGCATCTACACATGCCTTATTTCAAAATAACTGTTTCAGAATAGGCATTATTCCTCATAAAATGAGGTTTACGAATTTCAGAATAAGCTGTCCGTTATTTCAAAATTATTTTGAAATAACGGAATGACTGTGTAGACACTCTCATTGTTATCTTGGAATAACAGTGAGCTTGTAGACGCATCCTAGGAAACAAAGTTACATATCCCCCTAGAAAGTAGATAAGTTATTTATCTAGATGGAAACAACTGAGAGGTCAGGTCCCAGAATCAAATGAGTCATTAAAAGAGATTGGAATAAAACTCAGGAATTCCAGTCCTCTGTTCAAACCACTAGATGCTCCCATTCTTTGTCAACATCTTCAGCAATGCCGGGGGGGGGGGGGGGAGAGAAACTTTTCTGGGATGTCAAGGGAGTGCCATTCAAATATTGAAAGTAATATTTCTGTGAGAAGTGATGCGGAGGTTAAATAACCAAGACTGAATAATAAAATGAACAGTCAAGACGTCTTATTTAGTGACCACTTGATTTTATTATTGTCCCTTTGTCCTTTTTCTCCTCTTCTCCCCTCTAGTCTGTTTAGAGCAATTTTGAGTCTCCTTTAAATTTAGTCTGTGCTCTTTCTGAGGTAGAGACTGTTTTTATGTGTTTTTTTGTGAGGGGCCTACCACATTTCTGGGCACTTGGAAATAATTGCAACAATTGACAGCATCTTTGTTTCTCTCCTCCTGTTTAATAGGGTGAAATCTGTCTCTGCACCAGCAGGATCTTTGTTCAAAGGGGAATTTATAATGAATTTTTGAAGACGTTTGTAGAAGAAGCCAGGAAGTGGAAGGCTGGAAGCCCCTCAGATCCCACAGCCTGTATGGGGGCACTGATAAGTAAGGAGCATTTAGAAAAGGTAACTGCAAAGAAAATCCTGCCTGAACTAGTCACATTGTAGAGATCCAGAAAAGATTACTTGCTCATGATTAGGATGACGACCATGTCATATTGTGTTAGAACTTTGCCAATCACCTCTCATTTCCTCATAAATGATCATGAAAAAGTGTCTGATGTGTCATGTGTGTGCTGTGTACGGGCTATGTTCACATTATCACCCCAGGAAAAGTAAAGTTTGTGGACAAAAAATTTTAAGCTAAGTGATCAAGCTATTGTTGTGAAAGTATTCAAAAGAATCTAACAGTTCTAAATCCAGCAATCGGGCAACCTTTTCATTGACTTACATCTTGGAACATAGTAATGACTGATTTGCATCATTAATAAAAAAATATGTACTATAGTATATCTGCTTTATAATGCAACTAGGGAGGAATGCAAAACCACAGTTTATCTGGGATATTGGGTGGCTTTGGGGGACTTCATAAGAGGGAAACTTTTGTCCACAAGTTTCAGGAGTTCTGCTTAGGTCTTCAGTGGCTAACAATAGTTACCATCTGGTGGCTATTGGTTGGTTGATGTAAAATGAATACAAATGTGTTTTCTGGAGCTCCATTTCCAGAACTGGTGTCCATTTCCTCAAACCCATTTGTGCAAATGGTATAAACTAGTAATAGGCTGACAGTTCTGCACAGAAGAGAAGGTTCAAATAGACATTCTGATCTCTTCCTCTGGGTCCTAGTACTGAGTCCTCCAGGTCAGTGATGAGACATATAGGTAGATGACCCTAACTCTATTTCTACCTGTCTTTCATGTCGTCACCAAACAGGCACAAAAGTTGAGTCCCAGGGGGAGTCTTGGCTTCTTACACACCAAGCATTTAAAAGAAAGGAGGTGAAAAAAACCTCAGTGATTTATCTGTGAAATTCCTAGAGTGGGAGAATGCAGTCTGTGGTTTCAAAGTGTGACAAAGCTCCTATGAAAACTCGGTGGGTCCTGCACTTCCTGGCAGATTTTGCTTTCCTCAGAGGCTCACAACAGCCCACAGTTTTAGGCATCACACCCATGGCTTTAATTTGCTGTTTGTTGAGCTCTTTTCATCATTGGCTGGCATATAATAAAACAGAGAATAAACTCCACAGTCCTTTTTTCCCTGAGTGGAAATGGGGAGGTGGATGTAGGGGGGAAACCCGGGTCCACCCTCTACTTCGGGTTCCAGCCCAGGGCCCTGTGAGGATCCCTGACACCTGCTATAAGACAGCTCCAAGACCCCTGGTCTACATCCCCACACCTTGCTCAGCACCTTCCTACTCTCCGGTTCATCCTCCTAGTGTTCAGTTGTTATCTCTTTCCTCCTAGCCTAGTGGTGCCATCCTCTCAGCTACATGAGTGACTCGACTGCAGACAAAGCTTCTTTTATAGCCAGTCTGAACTGGTTTTCTTAATTACCCCCAGGTGTCATAATTGGCCGAGGCTGGCCTGACTCTGCAGGCCTGATCAATTAGCCTCGGGTGTTCCACTAGCCCTGATTGCCTCTGCTGGTTCTAAACCAGCCCCTCCCTGTTACTCTGTGAACAGAGATCTCCTCAGTCTGAGGTTTATAGATCTCTCTTCCACTACTTTTTCATAGCCTTCTGTTCTGACCCTGTCACAAAAGCTGTAGATAGAACAAGATCCATAGCATGACCTGTATGCTCAAGATAGCCTATGATGGTGACAACTACTTAAATTGTGTGTTTTTTGTTGTGCTCATCACTGCCTGAGTGCTGTGACATCGTCTAGTGAGCTTTCCTGTATGGCATGGAAATATAATTGCCCTCATGACACAAGGGGAAAGTGAGGCAGGTAGTGGTGTGGTGTGTTGCCCATGGTCATAGAGAAGTCTGTGATGTATAAGGGATTAAAAACCACATCCTCTGGGCTGTAATAATGTGACTATCCTTTTACCCCTTCAAAAAGTATTTAAGGAACAAATTAATGTTTTGGCTAGCAAGTTAATGAGAGAAAGGGAATAGTTGACTTATAGAGAAAAATGCCCTGACTTCTTTTTACATATACTTGGCTGCAAACCTAGGGAATGAGACCCTGTCATTGGCAGGAGAAAAATGTCCCCGTAGGTCACTGGGAAATGCTCCGAGATTCCCTGTTGCTCTATATTGAAAATTTGAAATTGACAACATTTTCAGTTTCTCACACTGGTGTTTTGCTCTCCCCCACACAGGTAAAGAATTATATCAAGACCGCTCGAGCTGAAGGGGCTAGAATTCTCTGTGGAGAAGGAGTGGATTCTATGGATCTTCCAACTGGAAATCAGAATGGCTATTTCATGCTGCCTACAGTCATTGCAGAAGTCAAGGATGAATCCAGCTGTATGCAAGAAGAGATCTTTGGTCCTGTGACGTGCGTGGCACTGTTTGATACAGAAGAGGAAGTGATTAAAAGAGCCAATGGTGTCAAGTATGGCCTGGCAGCCACAGTATGGTCAAGCAATGTGGGGCGTGTTCATCGTGTTGCTAAGAGACTGCAAGCTGGATTGGTGTGGACCAACTGCTGGCTAATTAGGGATCTGAACTTGCCATTTGGTGGGATGAAAGCCTCAGGGATAGGCAGGGAGGGAGCAAAGGAGTCTTACGAGTTTTTCACAGAGGTCAAAACCATTACAATAAAACACTGAAATTTACCTGAAATATTTAAAATTAAATATTTCAAGGCAAAATAATTGTCCAACATTTGTGCTCACAAATGTCTCTGGGGTATACCAAGAGATCATGACTTGCTGCTTATAATTATTTTTTATAGAAATGCATTAGTTAAGTACCAATTACAGTTAAAGATGTTCTGCCTCACAACTAGCAGCAGAGAGAGTAACCCACTGTGTCAGACAGCAAGACTAATTTGGATTCTGTATCATGCCCAAGCAACAAACCTGATAACTAGGGTTCAAGGAGATCAAGGAGTTAGTCCATTAAAAGTATTACCTCACACATCTTGACACACATATCTTGGGACCTACATGACTATAACCACACTGTGAACAAATATCTGAAAAAAGGCAAATTAGAGACAGAGTGATAAATAATGAAGTGTGTGGTCAACAAATCATTTTGATAAAGACACAAGCAAGTTATGATATAATAGGAATGCACATATGTACTCTCTAAATGGGTAACTGCAATTAATAATGTGTTTTGCACTTCAATTGCATTATCACACTAATACTAATAAAATTCCACACTAAAATTCCCAAGGCAGTTCTGCTCATCTATTCAATTGTGTTAAACTATAGAGCCAGGATATTTCTCTAAGGCACAAATAAAGCAAACATATTTTTATCATAACTCTTTTTAAAAATATATAGCTGTATTGCCATCCTACTGAAATGGTTATTTTGATGTTATAACCTTTTATCATCTAAATTGCGCCTATACTGTTTTTTTCACATTCCTAAAAGAAATGTCTGGCCACACATAGTCACAGATTTACCTGCTGATGAATTCTGGAAATGACTCCTTTTAGCAGGACTGTTTGAAATTTTTAACAATTTTTAAAAAAAACCCTGTTAAAATTAGCCCATTTTCAGAGCTTCTGTGAAAACGGTGCACCTTGCAAAACTTTCCCATTTGGTGAAAAGGGAGTTGAAGTTAGGCATAATTTCTCTCACACTCCAAGTAAATGCCAGTGAACATTTCAGAAGAGATTCTTAAGGTGTGTTTTTCAGGTTTGGGGCTGGATTTTTTTCACTCAGTTGAAGCTGATAGTGGTCTTTCAGGTTCTATGGCTTGCTTAAGCTACCCATAAGCTCAGAACAATCAGTTAAAGCCATTTTGACTATTTTTCTCATGAATTAATTGTAGGACTGATTTTTTTTTTTTTTTTTTTTTGGTCTGGGAAGGAGATATCCCCCCTAAACCCATACAGGTGTTGAGTAACTGGAGATGACCATTTAGGGTAGTAGAACTTATTGCTTCTCTGTCCCTAACAGAGAAAACACAATGGAAAGGATTCAGGATTGTGAAGGGGAGATGGTCTTTTTTTTAGGCTTGTTGGGAAGAGGGGTATTAAGTGGGGATGGAGGGCCAACATGTACCTGGTAGCAGTAACTCAGATAATGTTTGGAGAAGCATTTGACTATTAATTAATAAGTTACTCTGAACCCTTTGAAGTTCCCTTATGAGTAGTTTGATCTTTTTCCATGGTGCTAAAGCTGGATTCCTTTCCACACACTGAAATACGTTTCCTAAGGATGCTTTTTCCTGAATGTATTTTGGCTATGCTAATGCTAGGATTTGCATGGTTTTTTCCCCTGAAATTCGAAGGGTCCAAAGGCTGCTCTAAATTATTCCAGCCTCTTTGCCCTTTGGATATGGGAGAAGCAGGGTATAATGATTAGCTTCTTCAGGGTCCCTTTGTATTATTTTGATGGTGTCACAGAGCTACTTCTGGCCTTTCTCTGAGGTTGAAAAAGCCTTTCATTCTAGTGAAACAAAAAACAAGACTATGTAGCATTTTAAAGACTAACAAGATGGTTTATTAGGTGATGAGCTTTCATGGGCCAGACCCACTTCCTCAGATCAAATAGTGGAAGCAAATTGTAACTCAGATCAAATAGTGGAAGAAAATTGTCACAACCATATATATCAAAGGATTCAATTAAAAAAATGAACACATATGAAAAGGACAAATCAAATTTCAGAACAGAAGGGGGATGGAGGGGAAGTAAACGTCTGTGAGCTAATGATATTAGAGGTGATAATTGGGGAAGGTATCTTTGTAATGGGTAAGCGTCTTTATTCAAACTTAGGTGTAAAGTGTCGAATTTAAGCATGAATGACTGTTCAGAGGATTCTCTTTCAAGTGTAGTCTTAAAAGGCTTTTGAAGCAGGATGCAGGTAATCAAGTCGTTGAGACAATGTCCTTTCTGGTTGAAATGGCAAGAAACTGTTTTTTCTTTGTGATCCTGCCCACAAAACAGATATCAGATAGGATCACAAAGAAAAAACAATCTGATATCTGTTTTGTGGGCAGGATCACAAAGAAAAAACAGTTTCTTGCCATTTCAACCAGAAAGGACATTGTCTCAACGACTTGATTACCTGCATCCTGCTTCAAAAGCCTTTTAAGACTACACTTGAAAGAGAATCCTCTGAACAGTCATTCATGCTTAAATTCGACACTTTACACCTAAGTTTGAATAAAGACGCTTACCCATTACAAAGATACCTTCCCCAATTATCACCTCTAATATCATTAGCTCACAGACGTTTACTTCCCCTCCATCCCCCTTCTGTTCTGAAATTTGATTTGTCCTTTTCATATGTGTTCATTTTTTTAATTGAATCCTTTGATATATATGGTTGTGACAATTTTCTTCCACTATTTGATCTGAGGAAGTGGTTCTGGCCCACAAAAGCTCATCACCTAATAAACCATCTTGTTAGGCTTTAAAGTGCTACATAGTCCTGTTTTTTATTTCAGCTACACCAGACTAACACCGCTACTTTTCTATCACTTTTCATTCCAGTGGACTGCTTAGTCTGGTGTGTTTGCAGCTGATGGCCATATGGTGGCAGCAGAGTACATGGTTCATTTGTTCTTTTCTCTTATGCTACTTACCTTGCTACTGGAAAAGTAAATAATGAAAGGGATCTGCAGTTGGCTGTGTGCTTGAGTTGCAACCCAGGAGAGACTAAAATGCTGCTCACCTGATTAGCAGAGTGCCCATAGCCAGCAGCATGTGTTTCTTCTGTTGGTGCACATGTGCACATTCCTTAGTCCAGATTGCAAAATTTATTCTGCACATGGATGAAAAAAATAGAGGGAACATTGTGCTACTGTAGTGTGTTGAACTCTTCAGAAACCCTGTTTTGAGGAATCAAGCACTCTGAGTCTGAGAAACTACTTACTCTGAGGGCAGATCCTCTCAATTGTGGAGCATGGCACATTACGTAGAAGGGTAGCATGAACTATCACCTTAGTCTTTCCTGGGTGCAGGTTTGGTGAGTGAGGCTGAAGTAAGGAGAGAGAATGTGCCTGAGTGGAGCTGGGGAGGAGAGCCATGCCAGCCAGAGAGACAGCCCAGCAGCAGAGCCATGCTGGGAGCAGGGCAGCAGCCACAGAACCAGAGGGGCCATGTGACAGGGCACTCGCCCTGCACTGGCCCTTTAAGGGCAGACCCCGGCCTGAACCAGGGCTGGGGAATTTAGCCCAGCTGAGGCTGTACTAGCCCATTAGGGCCCAGCTGGGCGCTATAATAGAGAATGGGCTGCTGCTGTGGGCGGAAGCAGTGAGAACCTGGCTGCTGAGGGAGGAGGAGGCTCCCTGGAGCTAGGGCAGGGCTGGGGAGGCCAGGCAGGGTTAGGGGAGCTCTGGCCCGCAAATCCTCAGACTGCAGGGCTTGAAGGAAGGCCCGATGAAGGAACATCAACCCCCGGAAGGGGGGCTCAGAGACAGACTTGGGCACTGCCGGAGGGCAGTGTGGCGAAGAGGACGCCACAGCCGGGAGTAAAGAGGGGAGACACCACCCCAGAGAAGGCACCCTACCTGCCAAGGGAGCCAATTCCGGAGGACAGACGGCAGGGGGTTACGGTGGTGAGTGCGCCCCCCTCACAGGCCAGAACAACAGCCCAGGAGGTGGGGGAAGCACAGCAGAAAGTGGAGCTGGGTGCAGTGAGCAGCAGAGGAGACCCTGGGAAGAGGCTAAGTGCAGGGGGACTCCACAAGCTAAGAGGCCTTGCAGATCAGTGGGTTCAGGGTAGGGGACTCTGATGCTGGGAAGAAGGGCCCTGACACCCTGAGCAAGTGTCTGACCTGCAGCACAGCTGGGGCCTGAGAAGGCAGCCTAGGGCCTGCAAGGAACAGACTGTGAAGTGCCCTTACACTCCCCAGGCATTGTGTGTGAGGCCACTGTGTCTGAGCGGAGTGATATGCTTTCGAGTCACTTTTTAAAATTTGATTGCTGTTTAATCAATTGAATTTGCTTTGAACTGTACATGATCATCAGTAGGGCTTGACAAATAATGCAATCTACTCATCTGTGGCGAGTAGATTGCAACCCGGAAGAGCCGGGTTCGAGTGATCTGCGCATGCGCAGATCACCGGACAGCATGACTGGCGAGCAGGGCTCGCTGCGGTTTGGCGAGTCCTGATCATCAGTGGGTCAGGGAAACATTCAGTAAGAAGAAGGTTAGGGGTCAAGCCCCCAGGAATCCTGGACCCACCCTTACTGGGGTTTTGAAGACCCTGCCACACAGAGTGGAAGGGGAGTGCTCGAGGTCAAAGAGGCCTCTGGATAAAGAAAGTGGGAGCGGGGCAGTGTAGAAGCCAGGAAAGTTCCTCACCATTCTCCTGCTTCCTCCAGGTGTGGGTTTTGGCTGGTGCATTGAGCAAGCTGGGGAATAATGCTGCTTGCGTAGGATGTAAAGGAAGTATAGATCTGAGCGTCATCTGTGTGCTGCTTGTCCTTCAGCCCGCAATGTCTTACGTGCTACAGGCACAATTGGGGAGTGGTGAAAGGTTGATAGAACCTTGCAGCAATCTTCAAATTATGCTGGTGGCGCAGTGCTTGTCCAAAGTGCACGTCTGGGTTCACTTTGAGGAAAAGAACGTGAGCCAGTTCAGAACTTCTTCACTTACCGCTGCAGCTTTTTGAGAACAGAAAAAAATTGGTAATCACTGGAGACAAATGCTATGGGGAGGCTAAGGAAGTCCAGCAGGCTGAGTATATAGGATATTTCCCTTGTTTCTGGCCAGGGGGTGATCATACACCAGAACAATGAATACTGTCTTTAGTCCATATTATCCACAAACTCTAGCTTTCTTCTTCTCACTGCTTTTTTTGGTTGCAGATGGCTGAGACAGGGCACATGGGTGATAATGTGTGTGTAGTTCAGGAGTCCTCAAACTTTTCACAGTCATTCCTCCCCCCTTCTGACCTGGCCTCGCAGGAGGGCATGGATAGGAATAAATGGACCCAGGCTGGTGCTGCTGCTGGGCGGGGAATGGAGTCATGGCTGGGAGCAGAACAGCAGCCAGGAGCTGATGCTGGGGCCAGTGCAGGTGCTGGAGGTCAAGGTTGGTGTGGAAAGAGCCATAGCTGAGATCCAGGGAAGCAGCAGATCTGGGACTGGGTGGCCCTTCCGCTCTAACCCCATGGACCAGTCTTGTGCCCTCCATTCCCCTCCCCATATTCCCCAAATGTTCTTCTGCACCCACAAAGGGGACCACAATCTGTAGATTAGGAACCACTGTTGTAGCCATAATCAGGAAGTAGTTTTATTTATTCTTCTGATCCCTGCTCTCTTGGATGAGTAGAGTTTCCTATATGTGTATTCTGGAATTCAGCAGGTGCCCAGGAATTTCTGGGATGAACCATGGTTGGTTTCCTTTTGCCTTGTGATGAGAACAATTCTTATTTCTGCCTGGGGTAAGGTGGCAATTCTTGTGATTCTACTGTCCATCTCCAGTAGGGTTGCCAGATGGTTTCAACAAACATATTGGACACGCTTGACGTTACATCACTATCTACAGTACACCTTATTTAGAAAATACTGGACATTTATATTTTCTGAT